GTTCGGAGCTACCTGCAGCAGTGAAGGAGGTCTTGGAGCAGTACAAAGATATAATGCCCGACGACCTACCCGCAGCCCTACCTCCAGCACGCACCCACGAGCACGAGATCGTGGAGGAACCAGGTGCGAAACCCGTCTCACGCGCACCATACCGACTGAGTCCGACCGAGCTGACAGACATGAAGAAACAGATAGAGTATCTACTGGATAGACAACTGATCCGCACATCCACCTCTTCCTACGGTGCACCCGTCCTCTTCACTCCAAAACCAGACGGTAGTCTACGGATGTGCATCGACTACTGCGCACTGAACAAACAGATAGTTAAAAACAAATACCCCGTACCGCGCATAGACGACCTACTGGACCAACTGCGTGGTGCAACAGTCTTTTCGAAGTTGGACCTACGGTCAAGTTACTGGCAGATCAAGATGGCGGACAACTCGACTCACAAGACGGCGTTCCGTACTAGATACGGCTCCTACGAATACTTGGTGATGCCGTTCGGACTCTACAACGCACCAGCAACGTTCCAGGCGGAAATGAACCACATCCTGCGGCCCCTGCTGGACGAGTGCGTAGTAGTGTACCTGGACGATATCCTCATCTACTCCAAGAACATGAAGGAGCACGTGGAGCATCTGCGTAAGGTGTTCGAGATCCTGCGGAAAAACAAGTTCTACGTGAAGCTGTCAAAGAGCGACTTCGCCCTGAAGAAGGTGCAGTTTCTTGGGCACATGGTGAGTGCCGAGGGCGTACACATGGACCCGCGGAAGATCGAAGCCGTCAAGAAGTGGAAAGTACCGGAGAACGTGAAGGAGTTGCAGCAGTTCCTAGGCTTCGCCAACTACTACAACAGGTTCGTGCCGCAGTATGCAAAGATAACAGCGCCACTGACCGTCCTACTCAAAAAGGATATGCCCTTCAAAGGGGATACTCCTCATAAGCAAGCCATGGAACAGCTACAGACATCACTGACTACAGCGCAAGTACTCATCCTACCAGATCTAGACAAGGACTACGTGCTTGAAGCAGACGCTAGTGACCAAGCAGTCGGAGCAGTACTGATGCAGCATCACGAACGCAGTTTGCAGCCCATCGCCTACCTCAGTAAGAAGTTGTTATAGTGGAAGAAGGAATTAGCTGTAAGAAAGGGATCAGGAAAGATTTGGGTACCGAATTACGCCCCGCTACGGCAGATCCTATTGGAGGAGTTTCACGACGTACCTTACGCGGGACATTTCGGGAGCAACAAGACATTAGGAGGGATAGCAAAGTATTACTACTGGCCCGGGATGGCAGCAGACGTGCAGCAGTTCGTCACCTGTTGCGACACGTGCCAGCGGATGAAGAGCAGCAAGTAGAAAAAAGCAGGGTTACTTCAGCCTCTACCCGTACCGGAGCAGCCATGGCAGGTCGTTAGCCTCGACTTTATCACAGGACTTCCTTCGACCTCACGGGGGCATGATTCCATCCTCGTAGTCATCGATAAGTTCTCCAAAATGGGTCACTTCATACCGACCAACGCCACAGCTACAGCTGAAGCAACTGCTCGCCTCTTCTTCGACCGCATCATCACCATCCACGGCATCCCCGCTACACTTATCTCAGACAGAGACCCCAAATTCACGAGTAATTTCTGGAAGGAGCTCATGGGACTGTTGGGGTCAAAGCTTGCAATGTCTTCAGCATACCACCCCCAGACTGACGGACAGACAGAGCGACTCAATCTAGTGGTTGAACAGTTACTGCGCACAACTTGCAAGGACGACGTCAGCCACTGGGACACACAATTACCGACCCTAGAGTTTGCTTACAACAACGCATCACATGCGGCCACAGGGAAAACTCCTTTCTTCCTGTGTTACGGACGGGAACCACTCACACCACAGCAGCCAACCACACTGGCACATGTCCAAGCCGCACATGACTTCGTCACCACCATGCAACAGCTATGGGAGAAGACTCAGCGACGTCTCACCACGATGCAGGAATCCCAGAAGCTGTATGCCGATCGTCAGCGACGATCACTCAGTAACAGTCGGAGATCAGGTGCTTCTTTACACACACAACTTGAACCTGTCTCACCTACCATCCAAGCTCCGGCCTCGCTTCTGTGGTCCTTTTCTCGTTGAGGCACATGTGACACCAGGTACATTCCGCTTGCGCTTACCAGATACATGGAAGCTTCACAACGCTTTCCATGTTCAGCTACTGATGCCCTACAAGGACCCCAACCAACAGTTTCAGGGACGGCAACTACCGCCACCACCACCTGTTCTCATACAAGATGAACCCGAGTACGAGATCGAGCGCGTTCTCACTCATCGGCACCGCGGCGGCAAGACCCTCGAGTTCCTGATACGCTGGAAGGGATACGACCCCACTGAGGACAGTTGGGTTGCAGAAGCTGATATGGGCAATGCACGCCGTGCTCTCAAGGACTATCTTGTCAAGCAGGGTGTATCTCACGCCACCCAGCTTTGAGGGGGGGACGTGTGAGAGTACGACGGCTTATGCCAGCTATGCTTGCTTGCCTTTACTTTATCATGCTATTTCTAGCATAGGATAATTATATGCATGCATGAATTGCTTGATTTCCTAGGCTAGGTGCTTTCCTATATTTTTTTATAGTTATAGCACTGAGCTAGGTTGCGTGCACCGAATTCTGGCTTTTCGGTTGCCACCGAATTGCCTTCTACCGAATTCGGGAAGGATCTGTTCGGGACGCTTCGCGACGCGCGGAACCTTCGCGTAACACCTGGCTACGGGGCCTTGTGTCGAGCCTATATATAGCCTCGTGTTGTACCCAGGTGATCATTCAATTCAATTCAATTCAATTACAATTCTCTTTTCTGAGCTCGATCCTAGATCCTCACAGGGATGGTGAGGTTCGGGCGGCGGAAGGTCACAGATCGTTCACACCGGCTTTTAACCAGCCCTTCACGCCGTTTTTCAACCCCCGCTTAGCCGTCGGGCAGTTTCTTCCCGTTTGTCCCGGCGGCCTGTACCAACTCATTCGTAAATGTCGGGGCAGTACGTTGAACGCCGTTTAATAGTGGGTCGCTTGCAACTGTCCCCGAAAACGACTTCTCTGGTAGGAGAAACCGCTCTCGAAACTGCTGGCTAGCTTGCAACAACTCCAGGCACGCATCGTCGTACGAGTTATTTTCCGAGGTTACCGGCCCCGGTTTCCCCCGTCGCCTGCGCCCCACTTCTGCTAAGTGCGATATGGCCACTCCGCTATTCGTTGCAGCCCGTAAGTGTCGGCGGGTCTTAAAATCTCGTCTGTCCACGTGCACTCCTGCCGCAATCTTCGATGACGCGCCCGCCATGCAGTAAAAGCCGCTGCACTTCAGTTCGGGCGGGACGGCAGTTAACTCCCGCTAAGTCGGGCAGTTCGCATGTCGTCTCTCCTCGTCCGCCAATATTTTCGGATGCAAAACTCCATTTGCACCTGGCGAGTCCCCCATCCGACTTTTTCTTCAACAGAAGCTTCGAAAATATCGCCCTTGCTGACGCAGGCCCTTTGTCGCTAGCTGCCGAAGATCTTCCCGAAATCTTCGCGTAACTGTTAACGCAGGTCCGCCGACGTCAACAACTACACACAGTGACGACATCGAGGCTATTCATGTCAGAGTATGTTATTTGTCTAGCTTGCAGTGGGGTACTCAATAGTGAGTACAACCCTTTAGGGTTTGCTATCTGTACCAACCTGCTTGCTAGTCCAATCATCCTTTTCTCAATTCTTGTTTCTGTTCAACTCTCGCTCGTACTTGGTACCTCGTTCTAGTCTTCCTGTGGCCTTGGCTACTAAGCATAGGCCCGACTACTTAGTATATTTGACAATTCATGCAGGTGCCGACGCATGTCCGCCGACGCCAGCTGCCACACGGATCAACCTCTGAAATCGTCTGAAACGCAGCGGAATTTTACTCACTTTAATGTCGCGACAGCTACAGCTGTCCGTTGCCCGGGGGGAGGGAGGCCACGGTTGATCGCGACTGTTCGAGGCAAGGATCTGGCGGTGCCGAAGGAGTACCCGTAAAAACATAGCCGCGAGGAGCAACTAACTAGTTCTCCTTGCCGGCCTACGCAACTCCTGGACCCCAAGACATCCTTCGTCCCCCCCCCCCCCCGAGGGGTATTACACTCTAGAAAGCGGGGTGAGCTAGGAAAGTAGCTCTAATACCAGGTGTTATGAATGAACTTGCAGAGTGCGCAGTAAAACGAATAACGAGAATGATTGAGTACTGAATGACGATACAATGGAAGTGACGAGGCCTAAATAGGGGAAGTCCTAGCTAGGCGGGGAGGTTGTGCGAGGATGGCTCGGTGATGGTTGCGATTGGTGCGGAGGCGACTCGGGAGTGGTTCGGTTCGACGAAATAGGAAGGTCAGGTTCGTCGCGTGACCCTCGGGATGGTCTCGCTAACGAGTGCCTCGGTAAGGATTCTGTAAATCCTTGCAGTGCCCCATGTAAGTTACTTTTGACACATTTTCACGTCGACCTACACATGGGACCAGTCTCAGTTGAGTGTAGTGTAGTCGCTCCGAAAAACTGGGAAAACGTGCTCAGCAGGACTTGAACCTGCGCGGGCAAAGCCCAACAGATTTCTAGTCTGTCCCGTTAACCACTCCGGCATGAGCACCCGTAAACATAATTGTTTATTTCATTAAGTATTAATCATTATGATTAATAATGATTACAAGTTTTTGTATTTGGGGCAAGAGGCATGTAATAACACATGCATGTTATTGTTACGTAATAACATTAGAAGATCGGGTCGTTTACATTGCATATTATACATCACATTGCACTTGCTAATTCCCATAAAATTAGGAGATGGCTAGTCCAAAAGCCCCCTCTCACTCGTAAGTTAGTTTCCCATAATGATACGCCACACCACACCGCCGGCTCTAGGAAGAGAAGGGACGCAGAGGGGTATGCCGGCGAAGAGGGTCTGGGAGTCCGAAGTGGGGATGTTATACCATTGGTGCTAAAAGGGGACGCAGAGGGGCATGCCGGCGAAGAGGGACTGGGAGCGGCACATCCAGCCGCGGTTGAGTTCGCCCACGAGCGGCGGCTGGCACTGGAACTGCACCACCACCAGCGACGCACAGCTGTCCCCCGCCCCCACCGTGTACCGCCGGCTCGCCACCGTCTTCGACCGCGCCTTACCGCACGCCACCGCTCCCATCGGCATGCCAGCCGTGCAAATCTGGGCGGTTAGCGAGGAGGAGAACAAGACTCCAGCAATCTTGCGAAAGTTTGCAGTTGTGAGGGATAATATTCTTGGACTTGTGTGTTGCAAAACGCGACTTTTGCTTGTGGCATTGGCTATTGAGTGAAGGAACCCATTTGTTGAAGCTCATTCCCTCAAACCACCCTAAAGAGTGCCTCCCTCCCCAGTGCCACCCGTCATCATAGGTATCTCAGACGCGGTGGGCGAGGTGAGGGTGTCACAGTTGATGTCGCGACCCTCCCTTGCGCCCTCCCTAGTCCCGCAAACCCCTCTATTCGCTTTCCCAGAGCCACCATCCTTAGCGCCATCCCCTCTTACGTACCTCGGAGCCGGTGAGCGCGGTACCTCGGAGCATGTGAGGGAGGCGCGGGTGTCGCAATGCCCCTAGCGCAACCCCCTCTCGCGTACCTCGGAGCCGGTGCGCGCGGTGAGAGTGTCGCAGTTGCGTGAAATGAGGTTATTTTTGAGACGTCTCAGAAACTTTCTCCGCAGCCCACCTGTCCCTTACTGACACCCCCTCTTGCGTACCTCGTAGCTGGTGAGCGCGGTGAGAGTGTCGCAGTTGATGCCGGGGTTGAGACGGTAGAGGTCGAGCCGTGACCCGCCTTACCAGTCTTTGAGTCGACTCACAAGTCGAGCCAAGAAATTGGAAGGAACCCGCTCGTTGAAATCCGATTCCTCAATCCTCTCTCCATAGCGCCTACCCCACTTGGCCACAACCCCCCTAGGAATAGGTACGTCAGAGCCTGTGAGGGAGGCGAGGATGCCGCAGTTCCCCTAGCGCCACCTCCCCTTAGCGCAGCACCCCTCCAATTGACCCCATTCCCTTAAGCCAGCCCCCACAGCCATGCTGTTGGCACCTTGGAGCCGGAATTGAGAAAAAAGAAGAACCTACATGTTGAAATCCATTCCGACTAAGGACGCGTCACAATTGCAACACCGATCTAGTGAGGGATCGGTGTGCAGAATGTACAGTCTGGTGACGAGCGATACTGCCAAACACGTCACAATCCCGATCCTCCCCCGGTGTTGCAATTGTGACGCGTCCTAACCACCCTCCATAGCGCCACCCCCTTCGTTCGTTGGTACCTCAGAGCCTGTGAGCATGCTGAGGGAGTCGCAGCTGATGCCGGGGTTGAGGCGGTAGAGGTCGAGCCAGGAGATGCCCCATACCCCTCTATTCGCACTCCAAGTGCCATGCTCCTCCTAGCACCAACTCCCCATGGGTACCTCAGAGCCTGTGAGCGTGCTGAGAGAGTCGTAGTTGATGCCGGGGTTGAGGCGGTAGAGGTCGAACCACGTCATGCCGTAGTTTGCGACGGCGCTGGCACACGTGAACCACTGCGTGACCGGCTGATACTCCGTGTAGAGATTGTAGTCCGCTGCTCCTGACACCGCGTCTCCAGCTTGAATGCAGATCTGAGGTGAGGGCGAGAGAGAGCGTAGGACAGTGAGAGGAGAGGGGTGCAGGTGGTTTGCTGGGTGTCTGGCTGGTACTCCGTGCACGGGTTGTAGCCCGCTGCTCCTGACACCACTCCCCCACCTGAATGCAGATCTGCGGAAGGGGGGAAGGGAGGGGAGGAGAGGGTGAGGGAAGGAACAAAAAGGCAAGAGAGAGTTAGAGATGCCAGAGGGAAGAGGGGAGCACGTGAGCCAATTGCTGACATAAACGCTTGTGCTGTCGATGCACCTTTATTTGAGACTGTCTCAAAAGCTCGTGTTGTCGATGCAAGCGCACCTAAAGCCCATGATACGTCCGTCACTCCCCACTCCCCTCACCTGCTGGTTGGGCACCAGGGTTGTCCAATCGAGGTTGGGGTTGATGGTCATGACGTCTATGCCGAAGCGGCTGTTGATGGGATCACAGCTCTGTGCTGCCGCATCCGCCTGGGGGACAGGGGAGGGGGAAGGGGGGTGGGCAGGGGAGCTGAGGGGCTGAGGGGCGAGGGGGGGGGGGGGAATTGAGCACCTAAGGGGTTGAGGGGGAGGGGGGAATGAGGAAGGGGTTGAGACGGGAGGGGGAGGAGGGGGGGAGGAAAAGTGAGAGTTCATGGCTGGATGCATGCCAATCGAGGAAGGGGAGGAAGAGTGAGAGGGGGGAGAGAGGTGGGGGGGTGGACAGGGAAAAATGATTGAGGGGTGAAGGGGAAAAAATGAGCACCGGTGGGAACACGCCTTTTTGCTACCGGTCAGGATTGTCCAAAGCCCCAATGATGAGCAGATAACAAATGGATTGAGGGTGACCAAGTATCTTGGCCAAACAGCGACAGTTGTGCTGCAATACTCTTCGACGACACAAACGCATCAAAAGGGCGTGGATGATGCATTATTTGGTAGTTTTTGGGCATTAGAACAAGACCTGACAAGTGTGAGAGGCTACTGTGTTGGTGACGGCACAACTTCTTGAAAGAGAAAAGAACACATTGTCCAAGCTTTGAGCTCGGTCGAAATCCGAGTATATGACACTCTTCCTTGCCATATGTGCGGTTGTAAAGCAACGGCGTTTGCTAGTTGAGTTGGGGCGAGGAGAAAAGAATTGAGCACCAGTGGGACCACAACTCTTTGCTATGGGGAATTATTTGGGAAGGGGGAGGGAGGAGGGAGGGAGAGAAGTGAGAGTTGATGGCTGGATTTGCGTAGATAGAGGGGGTGGAAGAGGTGCGATGGGGGAGAGAGTGGGTGAGGGGGGGAGTGACAGTGTAGCTGCGTAGTGCGTAATCCACCCGGGAGACATTTAGCGCATCCGAGAGACATGTAACGCACCAAGGCGACTTGTATCGCACCTGGGGACATGTCACGTGCCTCAGTGACAGTGCAGTCAACATGTAACACACTTGGGCAACATGTAACGCACCTGGGAGGCATGTAACGCACCTGGGAGGCATGTAACGCCTTGGTTGACAATGTGGCCGACATGTAACGCACCTGGGTGACATGTAACGCACCTGGGTGACAGTGTAGCATACGCGGCACACTTGAGCCGAGGAGGGGATGGAGATGTTGAGCACCGCCCCCAGATCTTCACAGTCCACTCCCTGAAGGAGAAAATGGGGGGGGGGGAAGGTCAAATGGAGGGGGGAAAGGATAGGGCAGGAGTTGAGGCGCCTCAAAAGTCGTTCCTGCAGCAGAATGAGGTATGAGCAGGGCGTGGAGTGTGTTGACTATGCTGACTGTGGGACACTCTGACAGCAGGCCAGGTGCCCAACATGCCAACATGCCAACATCTTTTGAGGCGTCGAAATCTGCAGCAGCAACTGCCCTCATCGCTCTTATCCGTCCCTCCTGTTACCTCATTCTGCAGCAGCTAGCTGCTTTTAACACCAACTGCGCACACCTCATTCTGCAAGAGGAGCTGCTCTCACCTCATTATCCCTCTCACCCCTCACTCCCTCACTGCTCTTACCTCGTTCTGCAGGAGGAACTGGTCCAATCACTCTTGCCACTCTCACTCCTCTCACCTCGTTCTGCAGGAGGAACTGGTCCTGGGTGAGGCCGATGAAGCCAAAGTTGGCGCCACACGTCTCCCCCCCCTGCACTGTGTACGTGCCCTGCACCGCTGCTGCACTACACGTTGACATCTCTGCCATGCCGAGGGATGGGAAACATAGTGCAGGATGTGAAATCTAGAGATTTGAGACGTTTAGCCCCCTTTCTCTGCACTGTGTACGTGCCCTGCACTGCTGCTGTGCTCCCAGCCATCTCTGCCATGCCGAGGGATGGGACGTGCAATGTCAAACATGGTTAAGAATGGATCAGGGAAAGAAAAGAAAGAAAGAATTGAAAAGAAAAAAAGAAGGAAAAGAAAAGACAAGAATAGAAAAGAAAAGAAATGGTCGGGGGGCCAAAGGCACGAGAAGCCGCCGTTCATCCATTCCATTCCCAACACTACATCTCCCTCACACTCTCACTCTCGCCTCCCGCCTCCCCCATTTCTCTTTGGTTACCAGGCACGCAAGTAATTTGATCGGAGGCGAGAGTGCTGGTCTTGTAGTTGGGCGGGCAGTGGCACGAGTAGCCGCCGTCGCCGCTGTTGATGCACTGCCCGATGACGCACGGGTTGCTGGGCAGCACACTGCATATGTCAACTGAAAAGGAAGGATAAATGGGAGAGGGAGAATGAGAGAGGATTGGGGGGAACGAGACGGGATATGCGATGCTTGCCACCGTTGATGCACTGGGCCACGACATTTGGGTTGTTGGGCAACACACTGCAGATGTCAACTGTGGGAGGGGACAAGGAGAAAGAGAGAGAAGTGGGGGAGTGAGAGCAGGTAACCGCTGCAGGGGTTTCTGGGCAGCACAATGGAGATGTCGGCTGTGGAAGGAAAGGGTGGGGGGAAAGGGTGGAAGGAAAGGGTGGGGGGAAAGGGTGGAAGGAAAGGGTGGGGGGAAAGGGTGGAAGGAAAGGGTGGGGGGAAAGGGTGGAAGGAAAGGGTGGTGGGAAAGGGTGGAAGGAAAGGGTGGGGGGAAAGGGTGGAAGGAAAGGTTGAAGGGAAAGGAGTTGAATGCAAAGTGGAGGGAACAAGCGAGCAAGATGGCAGCATGCGTTCTCGCGTATGGGGTAAAAGCAGATTCTTTTTGTTTTTTTTTGCAAACCAGCTCATCCCAACCACCAAGTGCACCTTCCCAAGCCTAGCCTCTGAGCAGCAAAACCACGAAAGCACCCCAAGTGCCAAAACACCCCAAGTGCCAAAGCACCCCAAGTGCCAAAGCACCCCCAGTGCCAAAGCACCCCCAGTGCCAAAGCACCCCGAGTGCCAAAGCACCCCGAGTGCCAAAGCACCCCGAGTGCCAAAGCACCCCGAGTGCCAAAGCACCCCGAGTGCAAAAGCACCCCGAGTGCCAAAGCACCCCGAGTGCCAAAGCACCCCGAGTGCCAAAGCACCCCGAGTGCCAAAGCACCCCGAGTGCCAAAGCACCCCAAATACCAAAGCACCCCAAGTGCCAAAGCACCCCAAGTGCCAAAACACCCCAAGTGCCAAAACACCCCAAGTGCCAAAGCACCCCAAGTGCCAAAGCACCCCAAATGCCAAAGCACCCCAAGTGCCGAAGCACCCCAAGTGCCAAAGCACCCCAAGTGCCAAAACACCCCAAGTGCAAAAGCACCCCAAGTGCCAAAACACCCCAAGTGCCAAAACACCCCAAGTGCCAAAGCACCCCAAGTGCCAAAACACCCCAAGTGCCAAAGCACCCATCCAACCTCACAAGGGCCCACTCACTGATAATGCAGGTGGGTGTGCCGTCGCGGTTTTCAGCGGGTGCTAGCAGGTCCGAGCACTGACATGTGTACTTGCCGTTACCACTTGTGTCCGCCACACACGTGCCGCCCCCGTACGGCGACGTGCCGAAGGGGTCCGTGGTCTGGCGGGCTGGCAAGATGCTATGGGCTAGGGGAGGAAGGAGGAGAAAAAAGAAAGAAAAAAACAAAGGATGGAAGGAAGAGAGCAGGAAAGAGGAAAAAAAAAAAAAAAAAAAAAAGGAAAGGAAAACCAAAGAAAAAAACAAGCACAAGGGAGTAAAAATTGGAAATGGATGGTTCCCTTACCGTTCACAACAGGGTAGAGCCTCTCTCAGACCCCACACTCACCGTTCACAACAAGGTAGAGCCTCTCTCAGGCCCCACACTCACAGTTCACAACGGGGTAGAGCCCGCGGTTGACCAGCATGCCGCACGTGCTGAACGGATCACCCTCCATGCGGATCCGCATGTACCCATTCTCGCCCCACTGCGGGCCCCAGCTGTTCTTCAGAATGAAGTTATTCTGCGCGCTGCCCAGCACATCGTAGTTGTACCCCACGGCCAGCATCACGTGGTCCAGCAGCCCCGTGTTGTTGGTGGCTGTAGCTGTCGCACTGAACCCGTTGCCCCGCGTATCCACAACGACCTCCCCCACGGGGTTGTAGCAGTTCAAGCCCTCGTAAATGCCCTCCTGTGAGGGGCGGAGGGAGGGCGGATGGGGTTGTGGGTGGGTGGGCGGGTAGGTGGGTGTGTGACCCGCTCTGCGTGTCCTCCGAGACCTCCCCCACGGGGCTGTAGCAGTTCAAGGCCTCTTAGATGCCCTCCTGTGAGGGGCGGAGGGAGGGAGGAAGGTAGGGAGGGTGGGTGGGAAAGAGGAAGTGTGGTTAAATCCCTCGAAGTCTCGCCAGCAGCAGCAGCAGCGGCGGCAGCAGTAGCAGCAGCAGCAGCAGCAGCAGCAGCAGCAGCAGCAGCAGCAGCAGCAGCAGCAGCAGCAGCAACAGCAACAGCAGCAGCAGCAGCAGCAGCAGCGGCAGTAGCAGCTGCAGCAGCAGCTGCAGCCAGCAGCGGCAGTAGTAGCAGCAGCAGCAGCAGCAGCAGCAGCAGCAGCAGCAGCAGCAGCAGCAGCAGCAGCAGCAGCAGCAGCAGCAGCAGCAGCAGCAGCAGCAGCAGCGGCAGCAGCAGCAGCAGAAGCAGCAGCAGCAGCAACAACAGCACCAGCAGCAGCAGCGGCAGCAGCAGTAGCAGCAGCTGCGGCAGCAGCTGCAGCCAGCAGCAGCAACAGCAGCAGCAGCAGCAGTAGCTAAACACCAACTCACCGCGTAGTCGATGAAGTCCTGGGAGGAGGCGCGGATGGTGACGATGACGGGCTGCTTCTGCAGCGCGAGAATGAGCCCCAGCGGCCCCGGCAGTGGCACCAGCTCGTACATTGAGATGTTGAAAAAATCCTGAGAGCGGTGGAGAGGGGTGGTGAGGGGTGGTGGGGAAGAGAAAGCACACGGTAAGGAAGAGGGAGGGAGCATTGGCCAGCCACCAGCCCCAGCGGCCCCGGCGGCAGTGGCACCTGCTCGTACATGCTGATGTTGAAGAATTCCTGAGAGAGGTGGAGAGGCATGGTGAGGGGTGGTAGGGAAAAGAAAGCAGCGCAGATTGAGAGTACCGCTGTGCATTTCGGGTACCAAGGCACACATATCGGGTCGAGTGAAACCTCACCGTATCCTTGTTGACGCTGCACTTGCCGCTGGCCCCTGTGTACGCATAGCCTGCTTCACCCTGCAGCGCTGCATCCCGTTCTTCACGTCGTTTTGGTCGACTGAAAACTCACCGAGTCCTCGTTAACACTGCACTTGCCGCTCTCCCCCGTGTAGGCATATCCCGCCTCGTCCCGCAGCCCGATCTTGGCGGCATACTGCAGGGCAGCCTCGGGGTAACCCCCCCGGCACGAGGCAGCAACGCCCGTGCAGTCCACCAAGTGCTGCACCGACGGGCTCATTCCGCTGGGGAACACATCATCGTCCGTCTCTTTGAGCTTCGCATACGCACCCTGCACCGCCCGCGCTGACGCGTACGCCCAGCAGGCTCTTGGGAGGGGCTTGATGGCATATGGGCCCAAGCCAATGAAGTCAATGACCGCCCACAAGTCAACCACACTTCGACAGCAGACAAACCAGGTCAACAGAAGTCTACGCGGGTCAACAGAGCCATTGCAGGTCAACAAAAGTCAACGCGGGTCAAAAGAAGTCAACGCCAGTCAACAGAATACAATGGCGGTCAAGAAAAGTCAACGAGGGTCAGTAGAATTCAACTCTGGTCAACACAAGTCAATGCCGGTCAAAAGAACTCAACGTCGGTCAACAGAAGTCAACGCGGGTCAACGGCAGCCAACAGCACGCACCGCAGTTGCCCTGGTCGAAATCGTCTTCAGGAAAATACTTGCTGTGGTTCACGCTCTTCTTGAAATCCCACGTGATCTTCTGCGAGGCGGGGTCGAGCGTGGTGTTGAGATTGGGCAGCTTGGCGGGATTAAGGTCCTTGGTCATGGGGGGGACGTACCCCTGACTGCGGTCTGGCTAAGGGGGGAGGGGAGGCACAGCGAGAGAAGAGGGAGATAAGAGGGAATGGTGTAAGCACATGTAGCTTGGCCAGGTCATTGGTGGTGGGAGGCGTGTATCCTAGACTGCGGTCTGACGGAGGGGAAGGGGCAGGGGGAGGGGGAAGAGCGCAGGGAGTAGAAGAGGGAGGGAAGAGCAGAAGAGAAGATCTGACGTGAGATTGGGCAGCTTGGCGAGGTCCTTGGTGGTGGAGGGGACGTAGCCTAGACTGCGGTCTGACAGTAGGGGGAGAGGAGGGGCATAGGGATGAGGGTAGAGTGCGAGGAGGAAGGAGAGAGAGGAGGAGGCGAGTGTGAACTCACCTTCCCAAAGCACCTTACCAGCAAGAATTCAGTTCACACCCCTGCCAGCACACCCTTGAGAACCGTTGTACCGTGCCCTAAACCTCATTCCACCGCACTCCACCCATAGTTGCGTCCCCGCGCGACTCTCACCAACGGTTGTGGTGTTCCCGCGTCCGCCGTTTCCCTTGCTCTTGTATTTGCGCAGCCTTTAGTTTAGACTAAAAAGACTATTCAGAGTCTTAGTAGCAATCTTAGGAAGCTCTGTCCTCAACTATGTGAAGAAATGTGCTGGAAAACTCCAAGACAGAAAGTTCAAGTAATTTCATTGAAGAAGGCATACAAAAACAGAAAACACAAAGCAAGTTATAAGCAAAAGAATTTCTGATTTCGCCCTCGCGCCGCGCCTAATTTTGAGCTGACTTGTACTCAGCTCAATTTCCAAATCCAACCATGCACCGAACGCGCCTCGAGTTCGAATTTCCGACTTCCTTGGATGCACCTTTGACCCGGCGTGACTTCTCTTCACGTCGCTTGAAATCTCGACATTTCAGCCGCTTTCTACTCCACTTCTGCACACTTCCCCTTCTTCTCTTCGATTCCCGCTACACGTCGTGCCGCTACCGTGTTTCTCCTTCCACCGTCCCAACATAGATAGCTCCTCTTCTTCTTAGGTCCTCGTTTTCCCTTAGTCACATCTCGTCACAGTAGGTCCTTAGGTTGATGTAGGTCGCTCTAGGTAGTGGTTAGCTAACCACCTTCAACACTTGCTAGATCCGCGCCCCTTCCCTCCGCCTCCCGCCGCCTGCTCAATCAGCTTCTGCACGCGCTGCTTCACCGACGCGAGCCATTTGCGCGCCGCCGCGGCGAACGCGTCTTTGTCAGAAACAAGAAGTGATGAACTAGAAAGTTGTTGGAGTACAAGTAGGAAACCCTAGTGAAATGTACCCCCTAAAGGCTAACCCACTGTAGCCTACACAACAGAAACATATATAATGTTTGACACACCCCCATAGGCTAAGTGGGGGAGAACAAGGGGTCACAGGACCAGTCAAGAAAACCAAAGCAAGCTCAGGGTGGATCACAACGTCACCACAAACTCTGAGCACAAGCAAAGGACAACAAGGCCAGTTCACATGCAGAGGCATATATACAGCACAAATATCACAGTGATCTATGTCTAGCAAGTATGCAGGTATAGATATATAGATCACAGTACAAGCAAAGTCTACAACAAGTGAGGAAAAGTGGGCACAAGCCTGTCAGAATGTTATAATTGTCTAGCCTGCAGTGGGGTACTCTATAGCGAGTACAACTCAATTAGGGTTTCCTATATGTATGCCAACTGCTGCTAGTGCAAACCCCTCTCTTTTTCATTCCTCATTTCTTCACATGCTATCAGAGCATCTACGCTCCTGGCCTGTGGGCCCACCCAACTGCTTCCGCTGCTACTCTGTGTGCTGCACGCCCCGTGGCGTGCCCCTCGCGCGACCCTTAGCGGCCCCAACGCCGCCCTTCTCGGCCCCTCGCGGCCCCTTCGCGGCCCCGTTGCCGCCCTTCCAGGCCCCTCGCGGCCCCTTCGCGGCCCTGTCGCCGCCCCTAACGGCCCCGTCGCCGACCTTTCAGGCCCCTCGCGGCCCCTTCGCGGCCCCGTCGCCGCCCCTATCGGCCCCGTCGTCGCCTCCAGCGGCCCTGTCGCCACCCCTAACGGCCCCGTCGCCGACCTTTCAGGCCCCTAGCGGCCCCTTCGCGGCCCCGTCGCCGCCCCTATCGGCCTCGTCGTCGCCTCCAGCGGCCCCGTCACCGCCCCTTGCAGCCCCGTCGCCGCCCCTTCGCGGCCCCGTCGCCGCCCCTAGCGGCCCGTCGCCGCCCTTCCAGGCCCCTCGCGGCCCCTTCGCGGCCCCGTCGCCGCCTCCAGCGGCCCCGACGCCGCCCCTTGTGGCCCCTTCGCCGCCCCTTTCGACCCTGCCCCGGCCCCGCCCCGGCCATGCTCCTTCGCCTGTCGCGGCGCACCGGGGGCACGTGCACCGCCCCCCCCTCTTTTCCCGTCGCCCGTCGCGGCTCCCTGGGGGGCCGCGGGCAACCTGGGGGGGGGGGGGGGGGGCCAGCGTCGCCCCTTCTGCCGCCTGCTTTGGCGCTCTGGGAGGCCGCGCATCGGCCCCCCCCTCCCCCCCCCCCCCCCCCGTAACCTCCCTACCCGCCATCCCGCCCTGCCCTGTGTTAGGGTTTGGGGGAGGCGAGTAGGGGGTGGCGGGTGTGTGGTCTCCCCTGCTCCTCCTCCTCCTCTGTCTCCCACTGCTGCAGCTGCCGCTGAGGGGGGTGGTTGTGTGGGAGTCGACGGAGTGGTGCTAGGGGGTGGGGTGTGAGTGAACCTAGGGTGCAGCAGGGGGTGTGTGAAAGGGGGGTGCTGTGGTAGTAGAACTAGGGTTTGAGCAGGGGGTGTGTGTCGAGAGGTGTGGGGCAGCTAGAGGAGGTTGTGTGAAGGTAGCTGTCATGTCGCCTGCAGCGCCTGTAGTCCGTCGCCCTTGCTTTGGTAGCCAGTGAGCCTGTTGCACCAGTCGCCAGTGGGTCCGTTGCTCCTGCCGCTCGTCTATAGCCGCGGAGCCAGTTACTCCAGTAGTCCGTCGCCCTTGCTTCGGTAGCCGCTGAGTGTGCCGCTCCTGTGCCCGTGCCTCTGCAGCTTCAGTCGTTGCCTCCCATCTTCTCTCCCTCTACAGTTCCTCCTCCTCCTCACTTGCCCGCTGTGATTAACTCTAGATTTGCTCCCTATTGTGAACTCCTTCTCTATGCCTTCTTGCTCATTGTGCCGATTACACCCCACTTTGGCTATGGGGGTGTGTCAGAATGTTATAATTGTCTAGCCTGCAGTGGGGTACTCTATAGCTAGTACAACCCAATTAGGGTTTCCTATATGTATGCCAACTGCTGCTAGTGCAAACCCCTCTCTTCTTCATTCCTCATTTCATCACAAAGCCCTAGCAAAGTGCAGAAACGCTGATGATCACCAGACTGAAGTGCCTTGGTGAATATATGAGCAGTGTTGGCCGGAGAGGCCACAAAAGCAGACGAAGCTGACCACGCTGCTGCAACTCTCGAGCCAGATTGTAACGTAGAGCGATGTGCTTCGTCCTGTGCTCCAGTCTGTGCTCCTCACACAAGGCAATGGCAGCCTTGTTGTCGACGTACAGCACTGGAGGAGAACGAGGCCGCTCTCCCAGGTCGGTCAGCAGGTAGGTGAGCCAGCGTAACTCCTGTGCAGCCATGGCTGTGGCGTAGATCTCAGCCTCACAACTGGAGCTAAGAACAGAAGACGAGCGAGTAGAACGCCAAGAAACTGAACCAGAGCCCAGGCTAAAGGTGTAACCCTGTGACGACCGCTGAGTAGCCTGGTCGTCAACCCAAGAAGCGTCTGAGTGCCTAGTGAGAACAACTAGGCTCCCTCCTCCAAGCATGAGCCCCATGTCCGATGTACTGCACAAGTAGCCTAATACCCTCTTTGCAACATCCCAGTGCACCTTTCGGTGCCTGCCAGGAGCCACATAGCGGGCCAGAAGGCCAACAGGGTATGCTAGGTCAAGACGAGTGCAAGTCATCAGGTACATGGGGCAACCAACTAGCTCTGGGAAAGGACCACTCGGCTCTACGGACTCATCGGAAGGCAGAGCTGAGAGCGAGTGACCTATAGCCTGAGGAGTGGTCTATGCTGAGGACCAGGTGAAGCCGAAGCGCTGAAGGACCTGCTGCACCATGTGTGACTGAGTCAGTGTGATGGTGAACGTGCTCTGTCCCGGGTGATCTGCAAGCCAAGGTAGCTGCGCAGTTCACCCAGGTCTGTGCACGTGTGTCTCTTCTGCAGCTCGGACTTCACGTGGGCGAGAGCCTCAGTGTCAGCAGTGGCAAAGACCAAGTCGTCGACGTAAACGAGGATGTAGAACGGCGGCAGCGAAGTGTCGGTGCGTAGAAACAGCGACGGGTCAGGAGTAGAAGGCGTGAACCCAAGTGCCGCAAGAGTAGTCCTCAGTGTGTCGTGCCACTCACGTGGCGCCTGGTGGAGACCGTAGACCGGCCGCCGGAGGCTCCACTGGGTACCAGGAGGAAACGACCCAGTGAAGCCAGGAGGGCGGCGCAGCCAGATCTCCTCGTGCAGGCTGCCCTGCAAGAAAGTTGTGCTGAAGTCAAGAGAGTGAAGCTCGTAGTCACGCTGGGTAGCAACGTGCAGTAGCACCCGAAGAGTGGTCATCTTTGGGGTGGGGGAGAAGGTCTGAAAGAAGTCTATTCCCTCTCGCTGATTGAAGCCTCGAGCAACGTAACGAGCCTTGAAGACAGGCGGGGAACCCGGCGGCCGCTTTACCTTGAAAATCCACATACCACTGACGATGTTCGCCCCAGGAGGGGGAACCTCGTCGACGTAAGTGCCAGTGGACTTCCAGGATGCCATCTCTGCATCCATGGCTGACTGCCACTGAGAGGAGTACTCACCCGCGATTGCCTCAGCGTAAGAGCGCGGGGTCGGGATGTCTGGAGCATCTGGGTCTCCCTCAGGGGCAATCAGCATGGACACGAGATGAGGCGCAGCGGCTGCAAGACACTCAAGGTCCTCCTGTCTGTCCTCCAGGACGTCCGTGCCTAGAGCACACTCACCCCCGA